CCAACGCCCCCCGCCCTGCCCCCCACGCCCCCTGCGTCTCGCCCCGCCCCCCGCCCCCACGCCGCCATCCTGCCCCCGCCCCGCCCCCCCCGCCCCCCACCCGCCCCTGCCCCACCCGCCGCCCGCGCCCCCGCCCCACCCACGCCTCCCCCCCCACGCATCCAACGCCCTAACGCCCCCACCCACTCGCCCCCCGCCCCCGCCCCCGCCCCGCCCCCCGCCCCCCGCCCCCCGCCCCCGCCCCCAGGCCCCAACGCCCCCCCGCCGCCCCCACGCCCCCTGCCTCCGCCCCCGCCCCCGCCCCCCCACGCCCCCCGCCCCCGCTCGCCCCCCCCCCCCGCCCCGCCCCGCCCCCGCCCCCCCCCCGGCCCCCCAGCCCTCCCCCTGCCCCCCCCCGCCCCCCCCCGCCCCCCGCCCCTCACCGCCCCCCGCCCCACGCCCCCACGCCGCCCCCGCCCCCCGCCCCCCCCCCACGCCCACCCCCCCTGCCCCTGCCCCCGCCCCCCGCCCCACGCCCCCCCAGGCCCCACGCCCCCGCCCCACACCGCCCCCGCCCCGTCCCCAGCCACCGCCCTCACGCCCCCCGCCCCCACGCCCCCAAACCACGCCCCGCCCCCGCCCACGCCCCCGCCCCCGCCTTTCGCCCCCCACCCCCCCGCCAGGGACCCAACGCCCCCCCCACGCCCCCCGCCCTCCGGCCCCCGCCCCGCGCCCACGCCCACGCCCCCCGGCCCCCCCGCCCCCGCCCCGCCCCCACGCCCCCGCGCCCCCGCCCACCATCCCGCCCCCCAACGCCCCCCCCGCCCCCGCCCCGCCCCCCCCGCCCCGCCCCCACGCCCCCCCACCGCCCCGCCCCCCGCCCCGACCCCCCCCGCCCCCGACCCACGCCCCCCGCCCCCACGCATCAACGCCCAACGCCCCCGCCCCACCGCCCCCCGCCCTCGCTTCCGCCCCCGCCGTCACGCCCCCTCCCCCACGGCCCGCCCCGACCCCCCGCCCCTCCCCCAGCC